GACCGACATTCATCACTCTGAAATCTTTGTAGAATTTTCGTTAACTACGCTGCGAAAACAACAAGACTCGGACTTTCAGCACGAGTGTTAAGTCAGTCAGCCACTTCTTCTGTGTGGGTCGGAAACACGGCCGGTGTGTCACAAAAAGCATTTCAAACAGGCTACTGTGGCAAACATTTATTAGGAGCTGCCCATTCCCTGGCGACAAATAAGATTTGTATGATCTCAGCAGGAGATGGAGAATTCTTCAAATTATGCCACTGTTCTTCAGATGAGAATTTAATGGCTTAACAAATCGCAGTGAGCCATTCATTCACTCTGTGTCATGTGTACTCATATCTCCTGTGATTTGACGAAGTGTGATGCTTCCTATCCATCTCGCAGCGGCTCGTCATTAGAAAAGTGTTAGTGAGGTCTGGATTGTTTACCGCACGCCAAATCACAAGATTCCGTTGATTGTGTTGTAGACTGAGGATTTATTTCTGCCTGTCTTACATCTGCGTCATTGCGTCGCCTGAGAACAATTGAATGAGAAAAGATACTGGCGATAGTGAGAAACATTTCCAATCCAATACGTTAAGTTCAAATGCCTCAATACTAGTGCATGTTCACAATCAGTCAGCCTCTACCTTGAGAAACTGTCACTCTTGTGTACTCACTTCCTCCTCTTCCGTATCTCTCTCATTTAATTAATCCGGGACAGCTTGACAATGACTTTGTGTCATAGTGAAGCACATTGAAAGCTGTCATCAGAGTGTGTGACCCTCCAGTACCTGAACGCGCTATAATTTGTTACGAGCAGGCACCCGAATTCATGTGAGAAACTGGTGAATATCCTCTTGTCAGAATCAGAGCTCCCTCCTCATTCACAACTCGCTCATCATATCTCATCAGGTGGGACTGCAACCAACCAACTGCAATAGACTCTATCATCAGACGACATAATGTAATAGCTCGACGAAGATTAAGGTGACTGGCATTTCATGTGAGAGAAGAGAGACGTGTTAGGCATGAAGATGTGGATTTTCTGCGAATACTTAAAACAAATGAGCGTCACCTTATGTGCTTTCTATCGAAAATGTATTCTCGTTAATATGTGGGTAAATTTTTGATATTTCTTTACACACAGATGGCTATGATTACTTCCATATCGTGCTCATCTCTTAATTCAATAATAATAATAATCACAAAAATAGTTTGTTTTATTCCCAAACAGTGCTAACGATACAGTATACAATTCTAAGCATTTGGAACAATCTTGCATCTGATTTTATCGAATAACAAAATAATAATGATAATATTGGTAGCTGAGATTGTCAGTTAATTGAGACATTCTCACCTTCGGTTACAAATAGAAGATAGTGAGTGAACGAGCCGATTATTTTACTAACAACGAAGTAATTCATCGGTTTCGCAGTTAACATTCTCTCTATCGCATAGAACGCTGGTTGGCCAAAGATGTCATTTTTGAACTCGTAGACAGCGTAGTACGAGCATATGATCCTCAGTACTGATTTCTGGTTCTCTCAGATGAGATGGCAGTGGAGAGTTGAGAATAGAGGAGGTGTTGAGTGTGAAAACACGCGTTCCGATATCTATTAACCAATGCAGTAATAAGCTGACTAAGATGTACACCACTGGCTCTGGTGAAAACCGCCGATATCCTTTGCAATATGTCGAAGTCTTTCGAGAGTATGTAGTCGATGAGAGACTAAGGAGTAGGAGGAGTAAATCACTATGGGTAAGTAACAAGATTTGAAAAACTGTAAAAGTAGAGGCGGAGTGATTCCAGATTGTCTAAGCTTCTTAATGTAGCAGCTTCGACGAAACATTTGCTTGAAGATCGATAACATATGGAATGACAATTAAGGTCAGTAGATAGAACGATAGCCGAGCCCTTTCCTGTTCGACTCAGTTTCTCTCACAGTCGCGTCTACGCAACGAGTATCATGTGCACTAAGCAGTCGTTGTAGACTCCGTTTATGTGTAAAGGAGAAGTCACTAGTTTATCTCTGCCAGTCTTACTCCCGCGTCGCTGTGATAAATGGTAACAAGTTGAGCAGAATACAGACAGGCAATATTGAGAAACATTTCTAATTTAATACGTCAGCTTCCAATCCACGAAGAATATCGCATGTTCAAAATCCATCAGCCTCACTCTTATATACTTACTTCTCATTCCTCTACATGGCTTCCCACTCCTCGTTCACAATTCTCCGAACACATCTCATCAGGTAGGAATGCAACCATTTGTAATAGACTCTATCTTCAGACGACATAATAACAAAAACTTGACGAAGGCATATTTGACTGGCGTTTCATATCTCAGACGAAAGACGTGTTGGACATGAAGCTGGTGATTTTCTACTAATAATTTCAACAAATAAACGCCACCTCATATCATTTCTTTATCATGAATATACATTGTTGGCAATCGGAACGTCGTAGGAATTACACTAACCTTTAATAAGTAATGTAACGAGTAAATGGGATGGAACATTCTAGAACATGCTGTCAACTACATACTGTTTGGAATAAATCGGTTATTATTATTATCAATAATATCAGTTGAAACAAAATGTAGAGATAAATATGAAACGGAGATGTGCTCTTGAATCTCGATGTTCCACCTGAAACAAATTTGAATATTATAAAAGGGGATTTATATTCGTATTTTTGAAATTACTTTTACTAATGATAATAATACTGGGGTTTCCAGGACGCTTGTGGATGACACCACGCAACCGTTGTGTTATTCGATATGAGATTAGTTTGAAAAGTGTTCTCCGCGCAACTTGGCGTCTACCAGCGAAACACTACACCCATGGTTTATGTCATTTATTCTACGTACTAGATATCGGAGTTCTCGTCCAACTAATCACAATAAATCATTTGTAAAAGTGCTCTAATGAATGATACACGTGAGTTTCATCAGGAACCAGTAAGTTAGGGGAATATTGATTGTAGAAGCTTGTGCAGAAGCATAATGATTTACAGAATGAAGAGATATTTGTGTTATTCAGGGTCAACATCATACGTTGTATATTTCCTGTATAATTATTATTATTTCTAATTATTTTGATTTAGAAATGATATAATGATGACAATGGTGAAAATAACAGCTCTTTTCCAAACAGTAATTTTAATAAATGCTTAGTAAAAGTGTGTTAGTTGAATAGTTCTTAGTAAATATTATGAATAACCTTCAAATGAGGTGATTTTAGTAACGCGTAATTAATTACAGTAGGAAGAAATATTTGCGTTATTCAGCATCAACATCACACGTTGTGTTTCTTATGAGTCTGTACGTGTATTTCTGAGTATTTCACTTCAGAAATAATTTAATTATAGTAATGATGAAAACGAAAGCTCTATTGGAACCTGCAATTTGGCCAACAAATATCCAATTTCAGCATGATCACCTCGGGGAGTCAAGAGAAGCGATAGTAATTTATCTATAGTGTATAGGTTGTAACGGTGAGATCAATGTAAATTGTAGTTTAATTCATTGAATCAGTTTTTCTGCTCCCTCTCTCATGCTAATCCACATCACTTGTTTCATCTGAGCCAACTAACCTCAATCACTGTACAGCACTGTGTGATTTATCAAAATGGAATCTTATCTATAATAAAGTATTGTCCATTGTTGGCAGTGGTTTTCTGCAGAACTCTTCTTCATTTTTGAGTTCTGCGTTTTTCGTGGGTGCAAAGTATTACATAACTGATACTTTCCTTGCTTTTGGATTGAATCTGGCTGTCATTTTCCTGTGGGAGATTGCTTCTTGTTGCATCAGGGCCTTCATTACTGTTAGTGACATCATGGTAGCCACTCACTGCCTCAGTGTGCTCACGGTTGTCTTGTGGGTGTGCGGAGTGGACAAACGACTCTCCCGTTGACAATTTGGTGAGGCCACTCCCGTTCCATCTGCTTCCTCATATCCCCAGTAATTGAATTCCATATCTTTTCATCTCGTTTGAAATCTGGGCAGCTTTGCCAGTCTCGTACATGGTGCGGACCTTCAATGTTCCCATAGAGTTTCTTTTGTTTTCTGGCGATGAAACTCATCGCACTGAAGTTTCTGTAGGAACTTTGTTTACAGACTGGGTTTGCTAGCCTCACGCCTGAGAAGTGTGTTGTTACATGAATACATAGTTTGCAGAGGAGCGACGTTTTATGTTTCTCCCCTTCGAATCAGGAAAACAAGGACTAAAGCAATCAGAACAACACCAGTTACAAGAAAAGAAAATATTCTCAACAGGAAGGTCAGCGACGACAACAACAACAGAAGAACCCATAGTTGCAGCATCACTGTCAAATACAGTTGACAAAAATGATATGGAAACCACAGAGTCACTGACTTGGGTCAACTTGAGCATGTAAATCAGACAATATATATATATATATATATAATTAAAGATATTAGTTAGTGTTAAGCAGTCACAATATGCCGAACAGTTAGTCTTCGGTATTATCAATCAGCCAGATTATATCCACAGATTCAGTGTTCAAAGGTGAACTAAGTACAATGAATCCCACAACTTCCTGGTGAGAAAGCACCAGAGAAATGATAGTTTTATGAAACTAAGCAAACGTAGCGCACTAATCGAAAAGCGCTTCAAGGGTTATTTTTCTCAGTTGCAGATTAGTAAGGCTAACTCAAATCTTCGTGAAGTCGGATGACTTCTCAACTGTGATCTTCCCCGGTGTATTGCGAGTTTCCTTTCTTCATGTGGACACCATCACATGAATTCTGCTTACTATTTGGATTGAGGTGATTCTGCAGATCGATAGATTTCAATACACCTATCAGATTGCTCCGATCAATTATATGACTCACCCGATATCATGAGACGTTGTTTCACACACCAATCACAACACTCACAGTCATCCACAAATGAACGATGAAATCGTGATTATTGTAATCAACCAATTACAACAATAATTGTGACTGCTTCCTGTGGTATAAATAAGGGAACGGAAAGTCAGTTTTCATAAGAAGATGGTCCACTTCGCATACAGCCACATAGCCTTCTTCACCCTGTTGGCACTTACAGCCATAAATTCAGGTAAGCACTTTCTTCAAAAGATGGTACATTTGTTCCTTAATCCTTACGAAAGGTTCGCCTTATTCACTAGAACTGCTAAATATTTCGCCGGCTACTCTCACGGGCTATTCTCACAAGTTAAGCTTTGGCTGAGGAATGGTCGCTGTCGCGTACGCTTTCATATCAAATTCATCTTGCCTGATACATGGTAAAGAGCAGTGTAATAGCGAAGGCGTCTGTTCTCCTGACTCTGATTCAGAAACTGTGTATATCAACAGTTGCACAGTGACATGTTCTCTCATTTGGATAATGTGTCAGTCTAGAATTTCCTAAGATTTAAACAGCTTGAATACACATTTTGAGATGATGTGTTTCTGCCCTGCAATGACATACATAAGGCGGTCGACAGCAGTTTGATGTATTTTAAGTAGACAAATTGTTCTGATAATTTTCAGTATTCTGAAACTCCTCCTATCTATTATAATTGACGGTTGCATTTCTTCATTTCGTTTCAAGGCGAGTCGACGAGTAAAGATGCAATTTCAGCGAGACTTGCTAAAATCAAGGGTAAGTACGTTTCAAATAAATATCACTTGAGTTTGTCAATCGACTTGATATAAGAATACAACTTCTGCACTGTGGTAGAGTATAGTTTCATTATGGGTGAAACTTATTTTGACATAGTCTCACAGTGTTATACGGTAATATTCACTGATGAGGTTTTGTGCACAATTTACTACTCGTCATATCCATATCAAGGTATTCACTTAACTTTCTATCTTCGTTTACACAATTCCATTATTTTTCATCGCTTGACTTGATGGGTAGTAGTATTTTCCATATTCCGGTTTGAGTGATGCGTCATTTTGTATTGCACTGTTGAGTGCAGATTCTATGAGCAAGGATTCAGTAACCAACCTCTCTTCACCTACCTACATAACTTTTTAGAATTTTAACTCACTCCCACCCTACTGTGTGGTCGTGCGTTGTTAATGCATGCAGTGCAATTGCTGAACTGTTTTCTAAGCTACTTATCTTCGTGGATTGGTTCAACCATTCTAACGTTAACTAAATTCTTATGTTCCGCCAAACTGACTACTCCCGATCCACTAGTTTGACCCATGTAGTTGATCTCACAGTGATTGCAAGGTATTTCGTAAATATGTTATTCTGTCTAATTGGGTCAACCAACAGTGTCCTTCAACCTACATAACTTGTCCTACCTGAGTGAAGTTGAAGGTTTGAATGCCACCACCCTAATTCCAGCTTTTTTAAAAATCCTCTCAGACTTGACTGCCTCAACTGTCATTACTTCAGACTTCTTCAATGAAACGATTTCCAGTGTGCCTTATTCACTTGCATGCAATGTTCTTACTTAACATATGACAATTCATTCAAAATATTCTCGTTTCCCTACAGGAGAAATACCCGGAATCATTACGGCTATAAAAAATTCAGAAGTGAAAGTGAAAAATGCTACAGGTATTTAAAACTTAAAGATTTATTGTTGATAATATTTTTACGCTGACGAAACCTACTTCGAATTATTCTTTCGAAATTATCACCAATGATGACATCAAAATGTCAACCATTCTATCTAGTGTGTAACAGATAATTATGACATTTTAATACATGTCTCCAGAAGCTGTAACCACTAGACCCTTTTCACTTTTCTGTTTTCCTAGACATCATTCTCAAAAAAAAACCACACTTACAAGGAGACATGAAAAAGTGTAAGCAAGTCAAATTTATTGAAATGATGGACTACCTATTTTAGTTACGGACTGCCTGGAATATGCATACAAGTACTATTGGGGATTCAAGGCATTTAATAGTACGTTGTGGCAATTTTTCAATTAAAATATCATTTTATTTACGCAATGTGTTCACTAAATTGAGTTTTCATCTGATAAATGAGAAGTTAGTTTCGTGATTCAATCACAGTTGTTGATGTGCTCTCTCACCGATCATTTCAATACTGAACGTCTATTCGACAGTGGTGTGATGAACGTTAGCAAGTTTTCTAACTAAAAATTGATCAGATCTGCCGAATATGCTTACTTCTGTCTATCTCTCTCAGATACGCTTAACTTTTTTCCCGAAGGTAAGCTAAATATTTTGAATCATTTCTGTACTTACTTACCGTCATAATTATTTCTTGTCAATATTCTGACTAACAATCTTCATCTGGCCTATATTCGTACTTCACCATCTCAACTATTGTTATTTTAGTCCTGACTTTTATTTACTGACTTGAAACAAAGATGAATAATTTCCTCATGCACCGATGAAGATGACGAAGTGGTTGACGATTCATCAGAATTTCGGTTGTGTTTGCGTTTAACATGCATAAATTTGTATGAGCACTATACTGAGAAAACAATAGACATGGATTGATACGTGTGAAACTAATTTACTTACAGACCCTCATAAGAAATTAGTCGATGCGAAAAACTGTATCCAACAAGAAACCTTGGAATATAAAAGTAAGTAGGATTTTATTACGCTAACCAGTCTGAATTGTTTCGTCTGTGTGGAGTAACGATTTTTGAAATGCAAGTCTCCACGCATCTTTTGTAACTTTGAGTGAATAATCAAACTGTGTTTTACTCCCACCCACCCATGAACAGAGATTAAAGAGGCGTTCCACCCAAAGAAATGTTACGGGTATTCATTTGCAACGACCTACGGAGGTATTCATTTGTTCCTTTTTTACATTCTTGATGAACAACATTTTCGCATACACCCACGATGGGGGTGCATTTTCACATGTCACAATACCTTCGTCATCATGATTTGAATTCATGAACATCCATCGCTTATTATGCGCTAGTCAATGATGAGGATTTTCCAAGAGTCAGAAAATAATGTGTGAAGTAGAATGAACAAGTTTAGTGTTCTGGATGGTAGTCAGTCGTTTAAAAACGGCAGTTGTGATTTTGAGTAGAAACACACACACTGGAAGACAATTTGTTGAACGTGAAACACTGAATGAGTACCACAAAAGTGATATTATGACTGCAGTTTGGACATGTTTTATTCTTAACTTCATGCAAGTGGATGAGTTTGTGAAGTAGTCAATTGCTTGTGTCTGTGTGCAAAACAGAACATTCAGCGTTATTTCATGACATGTATGATCCTGTGAAGTGTGTTCTCATAGGTATTCATTCCCCCCCTTGATTTATTTATCAGATATAACACGATTCATGTCAGCAGAATTTCAATTATACAATCACAAGCACATGCTTACTATTAAAATTTGTGAGTTCATTTTCTCTGTATGATTAAACTCCACAATCAACAATTTCTATGCAAAAACAATATAAAGGCAGTGCTGTGATTGTGAGAATAGTCAATCCCTGTCCTATATTAGTTAGTTATCAGAAGAACTCAGTAATAGACCACAATCCCTTTCGCTGGTCAATTCAAATACTTCACAATCTGTTTTATCATTACTAGATGGGAAAATTCTGAACGAAAACCTATTGAAGGGGTTGTGAGGTGAGATTTATTTTTGCATTATATTTCCACATTTTATCATACGAAGGTTTGTTAATGCGGTTTTGACTCAAATTTGAAGCGAACGAAGTGTGATAGTGTAGGATGATGAGTGAGGAGAGCACAACACTGGATTCGGATATTCACTGCAACATTCAGATAATATTTTTCACCATAGACCATCATTTCGCTGTCCAGCTCAAATATTGATTCATGAATGTGTGGTTCAAATTACACTGCATAATACTCGTGTTTAATCGATTGATGAAAGCATCATGAGTGGTGTTGTAAGTAACCGTGTGCACATTTCAAAAATGTCACTGAGGCTATGCAATCAAGCTGGTGAAATTCACACGACCCATAGTGAATTATTGAATTTAACAACTCAAATACACCGACAAATGATAGAAATGGAAATCATCACTCACTTAAAATATCTTGAATTCTCGGATTCTATGAATAAGCACACAGTTCACCAACATTCATCCTCCTTTTCACGATTATTCTTTCTTCATTATTTTAACCACTAGTATTTCTCTCAATAATATTGCTAACTGGTTTTATTCTCACACAGGAAATTGAGGAGAAGTTCCACGATGAATTTCAAATGTTGGCGTAACACTGAATACATGTAGACTGTAGTAGCTTTCGTAAATATTTCATTTTTAATTTAAATTAAATAAATCACTTTTCTGCTACACCGCTTTCTCTTCATGAATTCAAACTCCATTCATGTTAGGCACTAATTCCAATACCTAGCATAGTCATAACAGTTATCCGCCTGATCACTGATATCACTTAGATACCACTGAATGAGGACACTCTGGGTGATACCTAAATATGGTGAAATGTCTGCAGAATGCACTTCCATAAACCAGTGTGTAAAGAGCAAAGCTGACTCGTTGTGGTGTGAACACAGGGAAGCATGAACATTATAGGTTACACAGGGACAATGACAAGTAAAAAGGATGCAGTGAGCACACACCACATATAAACGATTGTACACCTTGATAATAGATTCGTTGAAAGAGTCTCTTCACTGAATCAATGGAACCATGTATAAATTTGTGATTGTACAGCTGTGAAAATGAATTCACCGGAAATAAACTCTTCGCTGAACTACTGGTCTTCTCTCTATAAATGAAGAACACATCGTGATAAAATTGTTTCTCGGTTACCATCCTGGTCGAGAGAGAAGTATCTGGCTACGTACACTACGTGATTCCGAAATCCTGAAAGAAATCGCCTACACACTGCGTCAATTGAGTTACGCGTGACTACTGAAAGGAACATTTCTCCATACGGATTGAAAATAGAAGGTGGCGAATGCATTCGTAATTCAGAAATAGAATAAAAGTCTCAATGTGTAGTAACTTAAATGAAACCATCAACGGGGATACTACGGGTGTCAACTCTAAGATTTTATGAAGGCGTATTGTCAGCCTTATCTGGGTAGTTCAATCAGATGTGTGTCATATTGGTGCTGCCAGTTGAGCTTGTTGGTCGCCCCCAATCATTCTGAGATTTCACAAAACACTGGTATAGTGGAATGGATATCTAGAATTTTCTTCAAAATATTCCGCAGATTCGTCATTGTGGAGGACGCTTTTCACTCGGACTACATCTTCAAAGAGAGCAAAGACATTAGCGCAACCAAGTAGCAACAAAAAACGTCTGTGGTAATCGTCATAAGGATGAGTGGAATTAGTTCATTTGAGATGGAAATGACTTTTCACTAAAATCACAATGATCGTCGTCATCGGTGTACAGAACTCAAAATCGATTCGCTTAAGCAACTGAATTTCGTCTTCATTCAATCATGTCGTTGATATTCTTAAGTGTGAGTATGAACAGTGGAAGTGTAGATAATTTCAGATAGAAGCCATCTCCCTCAATAGTGATCATAATCAATGATCATCAGCCCACACATAAAAGTAACGCACGACAGTTGCTTCATATCGTACGATGAAAGAATTTACACAGGACGGAATTATTTGTGTGATTTCAGGTGAAGTTCATGCGTTGTTTGTTTGATGAGAATTTGTCAGTGTTAATAATTATTTCTATTTAAATCTCATTCTGCACAATGAGAGTTCTTAAGTCAGGATATTGTGTAGAGTGTTGAGGAGCAGTGAAATTGGTGGTTGAACCAGTCGGGTTAATTTCCTGCACCGTGCTACTGATTTCGTACACGCATTACATATGAGACACTGCCTTCATTCAATCATTCGCTTCTGGCTGCACGTCCTTGTCTTGTTGTCTATGCCTACCTTCGTCCTCATAATTCGCCATTTTTCTGTTTGAATGAATTCGCGAATGAATAGCTTTGAAGAGACGGTCAAGACAGTCATCTTATTACGCAAATGTATAAAAATAACAATAATTTACTTTATTCCAAAAACAGTACTTGTGATACAGAATGGAATTTTCAGCATTCATCACAATATCTTGCATCTAATTTCCTCAAAATATAAATAAATTGAATCACACAGAAAATTTTCCACATTTACAATCGAGGTAATTTCAAAAACATGCAGCATATAAAATGCAGATAATATTAATGATAACAGCTAAGGTAATAATAATAATACAAGTGAAAATTGCTGTTGGATTGTTTCACACAGTATTGTTCGATGCGGTATAGAAATCCTAGCATGGTTAGAATACTATTGAATATAATGTTCTCTCTACGTGATATGGTGAGGGGAAAAACAACGATTACATCAGTCATAGAGATAAGTTGATGTTTGCAATTATGAGAGTAAATCAAAGAAGCAACAGGATCATAAATAATATAATAAAATAATAAAAGTAAAACTTGAAGGTATATAAGGATGGATAGATGTTTATTTAACAGATGAAAAAAGGTTAGTTAATTCTTGCCTGACATTATATTCATCATATGAAACACGTGCCAAGTATGGTATCATAGATTATTTATACTCAGACGTGCGAGCATACAGCTTTCTGAAGTTACTTCTTGTTCTACCTGAGGAGATGCAAGCTGAAAGCTGAGGGTGAAGTGGATGCTCCGATTCAGACAAAATCTCTTTAGCAAATTCATTGAACGAAGTCAAGTGCCTATCGACAACGACGTTAACTATGTGGTCCACTGGGACACCACTCACCCTACTGACTGACAGTCTTCAGCATTCTACGAATTGTGACATAGTCCTTTTTAAGCAAACCAGGAAAGAACAAGCAGGGTGAACAATGAAGACGAATAGGTAGGATACAAGATATCAGTTAGTGTTAAACTGTCACAAAATGCCAAACAGTTTTCAAAAATCAAATAAATAAACAATTAATTGCTAAAAGCTTTTGGGAAGTAACGAGAGCGAAATCAGAGTTTTCTGTAAGTGAGTAAATGTAGCGTGCTAATCGTAAAGCGCTTCGAGGTTCAGTCATTCAACAGCTGGTTGTATGATAATGCCAAGTGTCAAGTGATCCACGATGGAAAACTCAGTGAGGCGTTCGATGTGAACACATTAGTGAGACAAGGCTGGCTGCATATCATCACCGATGATACTCTTAATTCTGGTGGACTGGATTCTGCGTCTGACTATGCACAGAGAGCGAGGAGACAGGAGTACGCTGGACCACTGATGAGAAGATTCTAGAAGATGTGGAGTTGGTGTTTAGATGATCTTTATTTGACGGCACACAAACTCGGAGACTTGCAGGCGAAAATCGACAAACTAGATAAAGAGGTGGACATCGAAGTCAGGACATAGAGAAGACAGAGTTGATGAGTATATCAACGATCTGCGACAAGATTATTGATACAAGTATAAATCTTGAGCACTGTGGTAGAGTATAATTCCATCATGGATGAGATTTTATTTCGATTATTCACACAGTGTTATACAGTAAGATTAACAACAACCAGCACCAAACACCATCAGCGGGAAGACGAAATAGAGGTTAATTCCTTCACTTATCCGGCTAGGAATTATCGTTTCTACTACAGATCGAAAGGATGAACATGTCAAAGCTGGCCAATACTGGATAGTCGAGATATGTCATCATCAACGTGGAAGTTTTCTGCATTCAGCATGAGGAACAATATTCGCGATTTGAACACAAATGTGAAATCGGTCCTTCCATATGCGTCAAAAAATTCAACAGTGTTTCAGGAAGTGGATTTTTAACAGATTGCAGACTTTCATATACAAGTGCTTTCACTTGATCCAAAATGCACATCAACTGGCCAGCGAAATAATATAAGAAACTCTGTCGCGGAAGAAGACAACGAAGAGCCGATAGCTCAACAAATATGTAGTGGAAAGTGGAGATGGATGGATGGGCATACATTGAGGAGGACGCAATATAACTTCCCATGCCAGGCTCAAATTCAAACGAGAAGCGTCAAGCAGGTCCTCGATGAGATTGTACTATGGAGGAATTCGTGCGAGGAAGAAATGAAAGAGTTTAGTGAATCACGGAACAAGTTGAAGAGGAAAATAGAAAACAGAAGGAAGTGGAGACATGTTGTTGAACCCCCATGTTCCACTCCTAAAGCAAGAGAATAATAATGAGAAAAAACATGATAACGAAAACCACAAAATGCAATTCAAACACTCACTGCGTGATTTCGGTGTTGAATAAGAAACAGAATTCGGTAAATGAAAATCACTTCTCACCAGCCATGTTAATTGTAACAGAGTCCCACCTCAATACTCAATATTAGACTGCCTAACATTTAAGTGAATTGAAATCACTTGTATGGTGTTTCAACATGAATTCGACAGTAATGAAGTAGGACTTCAAGAACGACGTGAAGTTGAATATGCAATACTCCGACTGATCACCACCTGCAATTCATTAGTAAAGGTGGGTTTTGATGAGGACCGAAGCACATGTAGAGTGAGACAGTCTAAGAGGAACCGAATATCAAGAAGTTAATGTGAACTGTGAACTCTGCGTAATAAGTGAAACGGCAAGACCATGGGGAAGTGAACCATTGTGATATCAGATATATCAAGGAAAGCCTGAATTTCCGGAGAGGTACAGAAACACTCTGGTTGTGAAATGCAGTTCTTCGATGACCATCACTGAACATCATATCTGCATGGATTCCAAAGTCTATGGCCTAATTGTCAAGTTGAATTGACACTGCAAACATACATAGGATCATGTCGTTCAGGTGTTACTTACGTACTGATATCTGACAAACGCCTTCCGATTTATGAAGTATCCTGGTTTCTGTTTCATGTCAGGTTGGCTTCACTTTCACACTATTAACACGCACCATATGACTTCATATAAACTAGCCTCATCTTCCTTCTCGTGAACAGTTTCAATTGAATGGTGTTCACATTGAAGATATTTACTTCAAGATAAATGTTGAAATGTGTTTGTGCAAAACACATGTGGAGGGTGTACAAGGCGCTTCAATTTAGATTGAATTAAGTTGTCTCATGTGTAACAAGTAATGCGGAACAGTATGATAGTGCAGGAAAGTGACCCAATCCATCCAGATCCATTTTTCACTGATCTCAACGATTAGTTCTACACACCATCTGAAGTCATGTCGCTTCTCCGCTCTGTTAGCTGATCACGCTGCAAAATTGGATATTTTTACTAAAATTGCTGCTTCGAACAGAGCCGTTAATTCTAATCATTGTTATAATTGTATCATTTATAAATTTAAATAATTAGAAATAATAATAATTATACAGGAAACATACAACGCAT